GTTTCCCGCTGATCCGCCATTGCCGCGTTGGCCATCGCCGTCTGCTTCCAAGTAAGTCACGGGCTTAGTTTTTGGCCGTGCCTGCGGGCGCATCGCTCACCTTGGCAACGGGCGCGCCTGGTCCCGCCCTGCAGTGCCACGTCTGCGGGCGCGTCGCTTACCTCGGCTCTGCGGGGCGCCGAATGCATGTTGAACGTGGGTCGCGCGGTGGACCGCTGGCCGCTTTGCCCAGGACTTGGGAATGGGCTGCGAAATCGGTCGTGGAAGTGCGCATCGGCCACGCCGCGCACTTCCACTTCCGAAAGTTCTCCATGCAAATGCTTTGGACAAAGATGCCCGGGAAGCTGCGTCGCTCCGCTGCAGGTCCTGGACATCGTGGGCGCAGAGGACGAGCTCGGCATGCATGTGGCCCCTGTCGACGAGTCCGAGTTCGACTGGCGCCCCTGCCGAGGTTCTGACTTCGACTTCGAACGGCGCATGGGCGTCGACGGCGACGGCGCGGGGGGGGGCGACGACGGTTAGATCGGAGAAATGGGCGATGGCGCGTCGGGCTCGACCTCCTCGATGGCGAGCTCTCCGACGGCGATGGAGCATGCCCGTGCCCGCGCGCCGCGAGGGGGGGGGGTGCGTGGGCCGCGGGCCAGCCGATTTAACAAGTATTATGTTCCGACCTGGTCTTGTCCTAGGTATCCTCGACCCAGAAATGTGGCGATATTGTCACATATCCAATGATATGCTCTCTGGCACCTACTCATGCACCCGCCCCTGGAGCATCCGTCGCCGCCCCCTGCCCCATTGCCCCCCTCCCGCGCGCGCGCCCCAGGCGCCCCCCGATGAGAGGGGGGGGGGGGGGGGGCGCGGGAGGGGCGAAAAATTCCGCTGACTAAAGACCACTGGCTTGCCGCGTAGCCGCCGCTCTGGCCCGAGGTCTCGCCGCCCGCGCCCCCCGGAGCTCGCCCTGCAGCGCGCGCCCCCGAGCAATGCCGAAATCGGCCAGGACCCCCGGCCTTTTCGGCGCCCCCTTGCAGCCCATGGCGTTCCAAGAGTGGCAGCGCAAGCTGTGATCCCCATGGTTTTCCTCGCGCGCTGCCCCCGTTGACCGCCGCTGTATCCGCGTGTTTCGGCGTTGCGCGCGCGTGCGACGCGTGCTCCCAGTGCTCTGGCCCCGCCAGGTTAGGGTGCCGCGTGGGCCGTGCGTGGGCCGCTCGCGGTTGGGCCTGCGCCAGAGCTGAACACGGGCGCATGGCGGTGCAGCTCGAATCCGAGGGCTTGCTCAAAGGCGTGCAGACGAACTCGTGAAGGCCGTTCCTGCGTGTCGTGAGCTTGCTCCGCCTGGGGCGACCCTGCAAGGGCGTCGAGGCTGAGCTCGAGGCGGGTTGCGGGGGCTGCGCCATGGGCGCGCTCCTGGCATGGCGGAGGCTCTGCCGGGAGACGCCGGGGAAGGGCGCGGTCTCCCTGGGCGTCCGCGCGATTGGCGGGCCGAATCAGACGGCCGTCGTCGACGAGACCGTCGTCGGCGTGCAAGAGGAGGACGCTTGGGTTGTTGAATCTAAGGGCGTGTCAAAGCGGGGCGCCAGGCAGCGACGCCGAGCGCCCCGCAGGGCCCCGCGCGACATTCGCAAGCTCGTGATGAAGGGCGCCCTGGGGGTGCCACCTGCGCGCGCGATCTACCGCGGCCAGGGGCCAGCGAAGCGCGACTCGAATTATTTGGAGACGAGGAAGGGCACCGCGAAGCGGGCGCCAGCCGCGAAGAAGGCGGCTGCGAGGGTGGCGAAGAAGCCCGCGGCAATGGCGGCTGCGAGGGCGGCGAGGAAGCCCGCGGCAAACGTGAATAATGCTGGGCGGTGGCTCTGGCTGGCGATCCGCGCCGGTCTCGTGGAGACCATGTGCGCGTGCGAGAAGAAAAACAATATGACTGCCTATCGACTCCTTCCCCGGGCGGCAGATGCACGGGGCGGCGCGCCGCGCGGGCTCGGGGGGGTCCCGGCTACGTTGGAGGGGAAGGTGAAGAAGGGCACTTCTTTGGTCCAATGCGGCCGGACGTCCGCCGCCGCTGCCGCGAAGGCCCTGGGCTACAAGAGCGCCCCGCCCGTCGTCCGCGAGGAGAACTGCCGCGGCCCCGCCGCTGGCTTCCGCGCCGTCGACGCCGAGTTTGAATTTCTCGGCTGAAGGGGCGGGGCCGCCGGCGCTGCGGCCAGTCGCAGCTGGGCGCGCGGGAGATGGAGGAGTGCGTGTTCTACGTGAACGTGGGCGACGCCGTTGAGAGCACGTTCGAGGGCCTTTCGCATGTCGGCGGGGGCCCGCGGCAGAGCGGGCTGCTCTGACTAGCTGCCGCGGCGGTCTAGATGAGGGGGGGGGACTTCCCAGGCTGACGTCGTCCGACATCGTCCGACATCGTCGCATTTATATTCGCGCATAGATGTGCGTGTATATATATGTATGTATGTATGTATATATGTATATGTATATGTATATGTATATGTATATGTATATGTATATG